GCAAAGGTTGGAAACAAAGAGGAAGGATCAGTAGTTGGAAACTGTGGCTTTGGTGATAGAAACATTGCTGGAGATCCCATGATAGAATTTTAGAAGACCAATCACTTGTTCATTGCAAATATCTTTTATAAACAACACAAGACATGACTATACACATGGACTTCACCAGATGGAATACACAGAAATCAAACTAAATACATCTGTGGGAAAAGATGGTGGAAAAGCTCCATATCATCAACCAAAACCAGGCCAGGGGCAGACTGTGCGACAGACCATCAACTGCTCATATGCAGGTTCAGGCTGACCCATGAGAGCCAAAATATGATCTTGAAAACATCCCATCTGATTTTAGAGATCATCTAAAGAACAGATTTGATGCATTACATACTAATGACTGAAGACCAGAAGAGTTGTGGGATGACATCAAGAGCATCACATAGAGGAAAAGCAAAAGGTCACTGAGTGACACAACCAAAATGAATGTCAGAAGAGACTTACTGCTCTCTAGGGTTGTTGATGTTGTTAAGTGCCGTCGAGTCGGTTCCACCCCATAGTGACCCTGTACAGGGTTTCCAAGGAGCAGCTGGTGAGCTTGAACCATCGACCTTGCAGTTAGAACGACTTGCAGTCTGATGCATTAGCCCTCAGTGCCACTAGGGTAGAGGATGCTAAAGCAATGAGAAGAAATGAGGGTGTAAAAGAATTGAACAGAAAATTTCAAAGAGCACCATTTCTCAAGCTGAAAGAACTGAAGAAAAAAAAATTCAAGTTTTCACTTGAAATCTTCAAGGGTATTATGGACAAATATTGAATGATGCAGAAAGCATCAAAAGAAGATGGGGGGAAAAAGAAGATGGAAGGAATACACAGAGTCACCATACCAAAATGGTCGATGTTCCATCATTTGAAGAGGTAGCATATGATCAAGAGCCAATGATACTGATGGAGGAAGTCCAAGGTGCATTGACGATATTGGCAAAGAACAAGGCTCCAGGAATTACTGGAATACAATTTGAAATCTTTCAACTGATGCAGCACAGGAGGCGCTCACTCATCTATGCCAAGAAATTTGGAAGATAGCTACCTGGCTAACTGCTTGGAATAGATCCATATTTGTGCCCATTCCAAAGAGCATGATATAATTCTGCAAAATCAATGATTTGTTCATTTCAAATAACTTCTTTAGATAGCATAAGAGATGTGGACCTCACCAGATGGAATACAGAGAAATCAAATTGACAAAATCTGCAGAAAGACGATGGAAAACTCTATATCATCAGTCAAAACAAGGCCAGGGGCAGACTGTGGAACAGACCATCAATTGCTCATATGCAAATTCAAACTGAAGCTGAAGAAAATGAAATCAAGTCCACGAGAGCCAAATATGACCTTGAATATATCCCACCTGAATTTAGAGATCTGAGGAACACATTAGATACATTAAACACTAAAGACCGAAGACCAGAAGAGTTGTGGGATGGCATCAAGAACATCATACAGGAAGAAAGCAAAAGGCCATTGAGAAAACAAGACAGAAGGAAAAGGTCAAAATGGATGTCAGAAGAGACACTGAAACTTGCTCTCCAGTGTAAAGATGCTAAAGCAAATGGGAGAAATGACGTGGTACAAGAGCTGAACAGAAAATATCAAAGGTCACCTCGAGACGACAAAGTCAAACATAACAACGAAACGTGCAAAGATCTGGAGTTAGAAAACCAAAAGGGAAGAACACGCTCAGCATTTCTCAAGCTGGGGAAACTGAAGAAAAAGTTCAAGCCTCGACTTTCATTATTGAAAGATTCTCTGGGCAAATTATTGAATGATGCAAAAAGCATCAAAGGAAGATGGAAGGAATAGAGTCACTGTACCAAAAGAAATGGTTGATGTTCAACCGTTTCAAGAGGTAGCATATGATCAAGAGCCAATGACACTGAAGGAGGAAGTCCAATGTGCATAGAAGAAATTGGCAAAGAACAAGGCTCCAGGAATTGATGGAATAAAAATTGAAATCTTTCAACAAAATGAGGCGGCACTGGAGGCACTCACTCATCTATGCCAAATCGAGCCAACTGATTGGAAGACATCCATATATGTACCCATTCCAAAGAGAGGTAACCCAACGGAATGCAGAAATCGAACAATATCTTTGATATTCCATGCGAGTAAAGTTTTACTTTACAAATGGCTGCACTGACAGAGAAGTTCCAGAGGTTCAAACCGGATTCAGAAGAGGACTTGAACGAGGGATATCACTGATGTCCGATGGATCTTGGCTGAAATCAGAGAATATCAGAAAGATCTTTACCTGTGCTTTATTAACTACTCAAAGGCTTTCAATTGTGTGGATCATGACAAGCTACGGACAACATTGCGAAGTGTGAGCACACTTAATTGTGCTCATGAAGAATCTGTACATAGACCAACAGGCAGTTGTTCGAACAGAACATGGGAACACTGAATGGTTTAAAATTAAGAAAGGTGTGCAAAAGGGCTGTATTCTTTCACCATACTTATTCAACCTGTATGCTGAGCAAATAATCCAAGAAGCTGGGTTCTGTGAAGAAAGACGTGGTATCAGGACTGGAGGAAGACTCATTAACAACCTGCGATATGCAGATGATACAACCTTGCTTGCTGAAAGTGAACCTGACTAAAAGTATTTACTGATGAAGATCAAGAACCAAGAAGAATGAAGTCCTTGACAACTTCAATCTTTTCTCCATTGATAAGAATGTTGTTTATTGGTCCTTATCAGTATGGATGTCCGATCAAAGAGCACAGCCTTCGGTATGGATTGCATCTCAATGTCAAGAACACAAAAATCCTCACCACTGGACCAATAAACAACATTCTTTATCAATGGAGAAAAGGTTGAAGTTGTCAAGGACTTCATTCTTCTTGGATCAACTATCAACACTCATGGAAGCAGCAGTCAAGAAAACAAATGCCGTATTGCATTAGGCAAATCTGCTGCACAAGACCTTTTTAAAGTGTTGAAGAGCAAAGATGTCAGCTTGAGGACTAAGGTGTGCCTGACCCAAGCCAAGGTATTTTCAATAACCTCATATGCATGTGAAAGCTGGACAGTATATAAGGAAGACTGTAGAAGAATTGATGCTTTTGAGTTATGGTGTTGGAGAATATTGAAAGTGCCATGGGCTGCCAAAAGAACCAATAGATCTGTGTTGGAATAAGTGCAGCCAGAGTGCTCCTTGGAGGCCAGGATGGCCAAACTTCATCTCTCATACTTCAGACATATTGTCAGGTGGGACCAGTCACTGGAGAAGGATATCATGTTTGGTAAGGTGTAAGGTGAGAGAAAAAGAGGAAGACCTCCAACGAGATGGACCGGCAAAGTGGCAGATCAAAGTGCTCAAGCGTGGCGACAATTGTGAGGTTGGCCCAGGACCGGGCAGTGTTTCGTTCTGTTGTACACAGGATCACTGTGAGTCAGTACCATGTTGATTGCTTCTAACAACAACATATGCATGTAAAGAGACCCGGTGTTGCAATGTGGGTTAATGCGTTGGACTGCAAGGTTGGTTTGAACCCCAGGGTCAATGGTTCAAGCTCACTAAATGCTCCTCAGAAACCCTATACAGGGTCACTATGGGTGGGAACCGACTCAAGAGCAGTTAAGAACAAATGCATATGAAAGTTGGACAATGAATAAGGAAGACTGTAGAATTGAAGCATTTGAGTTGTGTTGGAGGACACAAAAAGTACCGTGAACCGCCAAAAGAACAAAGAAATCTGTTTTGAAAGAAGTTAGGATGGGCAGACTTTCTCTATACTTCAGACATGTTATTAGGAGGGACCAGTCTCTGTAGAAGGACATCATGCTCGGTAAAATCAAGGGTCAAGCGAAAAAGAGGAAGACCCCCAATGAGATGGACTGGCACAGTGGCAGGAGCCATGGGCTCAGTGAGACTGGCGTGGGACCAGGCAGTGCTCCATGTACATGGTCACTATGCACTGGTACCAACTCAACAGCACTTAACAACAGAGGGACCGCTACGTTATTTATATTTGCATTTTTCTAATGGATAATGAGCTGATTTCTGGTGTTGCACTGTAGCTAAACACTGAACTGCTAACCACAAGATCAGAAGTTCAAACCCACCAGCTGCTCCTCACAAACTCCATACAAGGTCACTGAGTGAAGCCAGCTCAATGGCACTTAATGGCTGGTGATTATGAACATTTCCTCCTGTTTGTTGGCCACCTGAATGTCCTCTTTGGTGAAATGTCTGTTCATATCCTCTACTCGTTTTTCTATTAGATTTTCATCTTAATCATGTTAAGGTGAAGTTTTCTGTACATTTTAAAATCAGTCCCTTATCTGTCATTACCAAAAATTTGTTTCCCAATCTCTGGGTTACCTTTCTATCCTTTGGGTGAAATTCTTTGATGCACATAATTGTCTATAATTTTTAGGAAGTCTCTGTCATCTACTTTATCTTCCAGTTTGTGTTTTCAGTTATGTTTGATAAGTATTATTTATTTGAGGTACCAGAGCCCCTAAACTTGTCCCTATTTTTACACTAATGATCTTCTATAGCTCTAGGTTTTACATCCACATCTTCAATCTACACTGAATCCATTTTTGTACAAGGTGTGAGATATGGATCTTATTTCATTCTTCTACAAACAGATTTCCAGTTGTACCTTTTGTTGAAGCGACTCTTTCCCATTTAATGTGTTTTGGCCCTTTGTCAGTGATTAGCTGACCACAGGTGGATGGGATCTACTTCTGGGTTCTCAATTCTGTTTCACTGGTCTGTGTGTCTGCTTACCAGTACCAGGCTGGTTTGATCGCTGTGGCTGTGGAGGAGGTTTTGAGATTGGGAGACTTCACTTTCTATACAAGGAAGCAAATGGAAGTCGCCTTCAGTCATCAGCACTGGACAAGACTCCTACCAAGGAGCCAGGCTGGGCTGGGCAGTATCTTGAGTGGGTAGCCTCAAGCCCAAGAGGAAAAGACTAGAAAGGTAACTCCCTCAACCCTTAAGGAAGGTAAGCTGGGAGGAGCCCACATTCCGCGTGGTCCCTAGAGAGCAGTCAGGCCCAGAAAAGGAGGGAAGCTGGATCAGACTGGTGCAGCCAGAGGAAACTTTATTGAAAGGTCCCAGGACCACGCTTTGACCATCTGCCAACAGCAGGGTGATGATCGGGGGCTGAGCAGAAGGCTCACCACAGTGCAGCACAGGAGGGGCAGCAGAGAAATCTGTCTGTGGCCCGGCTCTGGGACGGTGTCGCCCTCCGTCTGGGGAGATGGGGTTCCCTGAAGTTCTGCCACACACTGCTCCTGTCCTCTGCTCCCATCGAAGGCGACCCTCCCTGCAGGAGCCAAGGGTGTACGTGCCCGAACAGCAGGGCACTGGCCAGCTTGTGACCAGTCCAGTTCAGGTTTCACCTGAGGTCTGGCCTCGGGCAGTGTCTGGATCTGAATCATGGAAAAACTCCTTAGCCATCGCATGAGCAGCTCTCAGCACTTTCTTCTCCTTGGCCTCAGGGCCCAGGCTCTCCCGGGCTCGGGCCACCCAGTGAGGCTCTGTCCGGCACAGGTAGTCCTCATAGCTCTCGACGTGCTCTGCAGGTGGAGGTGTTGCATCTGCTTGATGGGGCGGGGTGAGACGACACACTCAGCCGGGGCGGAGCCACACAGTGTGCCGGGAGGCTGGTGTGAGGAACCACAGCACACACTACACACACCACCCCAAGACCTGACCAGGCAGGACGGTCCCCAAGACACAGCCCTATCAGCATATGGCCCCACAAACTGAAGACACAACACCCAAGACCTCAGTCTGCTGGCTGCGTGTGTCCCTAATGCCAGGTCAGACGCGCGAACCTTTGAAGTCCTAACATTGCTCTTCACCAGTGCACCGTGGGCTTTGAGGAAATGACCCCCTCAACCCCCCGCCACTCTGGTCACCCAGCGCTGGTGGCCTGGGCTCAGTACCAAGGACGGTATGCTACCATGGTCTCCAGGAGTCCAAGGGCAGTTCCGACCTATCAGACTCTGCCATTCGGTGGCACACAAAAGGGTAACCATGCCACCCCAAGATAAGACAGTTACACATTAAAGGGTTCCAAACACAGCAGAAAAAAATGTGGAACGAAACTCAAAATAGTGTTTAAAACATTTTTTTTAAAGATTGGGCTTACAGAAAGAGACTGCAGGAACCTGAGCCTGTGGCCCTCATCATCCATCAGGTCTGGAAAGAACTCACCTTTGTGGCCCAATTTTCAGCCAAACACCAGATGGGTATATAAGGGGCTACAACAGCACTGTGGGCCACCTGTTCCCCCCTCACTGTGAGTTACCAGTTTCCCGCCTCACTGTGGGCCACCTGTGCCCCCCTCACTGTGAGTTACCAGTTTCCCGCCTCACTGTGGGCCACCTGTTCCCCCCTCTGCTGTGAACTTACCTGTGTCTTCCTCACTGCTCTCCTCTCCCGTGTCTTCTTCTTCCTCATCTCCATCCTCCTCTGAGTCAGTTTCCTCCAGCCACTCTTGAGTGTCTTCAGAAGCAAAAGCACACACAGCTGGTCAGTGAAGGCCAGGACGTCAGGGGAGAATCAAGGCTCCCAGACCATCCTCAATGGGGATGCCATCTTCTCAGTAAAGAAGTCTCCTGGGAGAAGCTACCTCAGGAACCAGCTTGCTCCCCTGAGACTGAAGCATGGGACGAAGACAGAGTTGTGCACAAAGCCATTTGTTAAGTGCCGTCGAGTCGATTCCGACCCACAGTGACCCTGTATAGATAGGGTTTCCAAGGAGCAGCTGGTGAGCTTGAACCGCCGACTTTGCAGTCTGACGCATTAACCCACAGCGCCACATCAGGACTCCTTAGGAAATCCTAATTCTGTTGACAACAGCGCCCTGGCAAGTTCTGCTCCTGCCTGTCCCAGGGGTTATGATCAAGGACACATCTGTAGACTCGGCTCTGTCTCTGCCCACAGACAGGTGAATGAGGAACCAACTGGGACCTGCGGCAGCAGACACTGTTATGAAACAGTACAAGGTGAAGGTGAGAGTGAAAGAAACAGAGACAACGCTTTTCAGGAGAAGATGAACAGGACCTGCGGGCGGAAACCCAGAGGGCACGAGAGCTGACAGAACATGCCTCCTCCTGCCCAGGGCAGGTCTTAGGTCATCAGAGGGCAGGCTCAGCCAGGGCAGTGCCTATGAAGCCTGTACAGCCCAGAGCCACCTGGGGTTCAGGCAGAAAGCACCCAGGACAAACAGTGCTCAGGCAGAGGAGCCACCCACACAGGCTGTAACGCCACAGAGGGGCCAGCGAGAACAGAGGACTCACCCGTACAGGCTGTAACGCCACAGAGGGGCCAGCGAGAACAGAGGACCCACCTGCACAGGCCGTAACGCCATAGAGGGGCCAGCGAGAACAGAGGACCCAGGCAATGTCCAGCCCACCCCACATGTGGTGAGTTGGCACCTGAGGCAATTCCTTTGCTCACCTGGGTCCATCTCCACCAGGGCCTTCCACCCCTCCATCTTCTGCAGGTCCAGGCAATAGAGGTCACTGAGGGTGAACTGGCGGTCGCCCGCCTCAAACATGCCCCCGTAAACGTAGAGCAGCCCGTGCTTCACGGCGAGCATGGCATTGGAGCGGGGGCTCGGTGCCACTACGGGTGCTCCGGCCTCCTCCGTACTGTCCTCGTCCTCAGCTGCTGCGCCAGCCTCGCCGGATATAGGGAGAAGCTGCTTGATGGTGACCACAGTCCCATCCTCGGAGATCACCTCTCGGACCACTTCCAGGGGTTGCTGGGGGCTGGGCTCCAATGCTGCCGGCTTCTCCACGCCTGGAGGCTCTCCTGTCCTGCCACGTCGCCGTTTCTTCTTCTCAGACCTAGGTTCCTATTGACAAAGGACAGCACGATGTGGTCCCCAGTGGACAGGCATCCCGAGTGGGTGCATAGGAAGAGGCTTCAAAGGGAATCGTCTGCAGCAAGACCCTCAAGGTCCAGGGGCTAGAGGTGACATGGCTAGAGCAAACAGCAATACACTCCAAAGTTTGGAGGTTCAAGGCCACCCACAGGCCTTGCAATCGACACCTGAAAACTCAAAATACTACGGCTCACAGTCCTCTTCAGACACACGGAGCAGGGTCCCCTCGGACACGCACAACACAGTACCCTCATATACACAAGAAACGGTCCCCCCAACACACATGGATTGACACGAATCAGTCAAGGCCACAGAACTGGTTATTAATTCAGGGACTCAATATAGGACTGTGCCCTGGACAAGGGACTCCTGTGTACAGCAGACCCTCACTGTGAGGCAAGAGGGGCACAGTTAACACCCTGAAGGAACCCTTGCCTTCACGGACCCTTGTCTTGGAAAAATGACCACCACCAAGCAGTGCCAACAGCAAGCAGCTGGGGGTCCAAGCTGGTGGTCAGGGACACCTGTCAGTGCCGAGTCCACAGCACCTTGGGTGACAGTGATAAATGTGTGACAGCTCCTATTTTAACCAGGCAAATCCTGTGACTTGGGGCTGAGACCATCCTGAGACAAGGCTGACAGGGTTTGGAGACCCTGACTGCTCAGACCCCCTCAGGGAGGGCCCTACCTTGAGTTGCCCGGCGAACCAGCGGCTCTTGGCAGAGTCATAGAAATACAGGTCATTGAAGAAGTCCCCTTGCAGACTCTCCTCCTCCTCCTCGTCACACACCCCCCCAAAGAGCAGCGTCTGATGGTTCGGGGTCACGGCCACCGAGAAGCCGGACCTTGGCGTGGGCTTGACTCCCGAAGGGTGGATCCGCGTCCAAGTCCACTTGCCTGTGAGGAGAAGGCAGGACTGCGTGAGAAAGCGGAGAACCTCGCACAGTGGGAAGGTGTGGCCACGCAGGCAGAGCTGTGTTGGGAGCAGGGAGCCTCACCCACCATGACCACTGCACTGACACCACCCTCACGGCCAGGGTCCAGGCCGTACTCGGAGGATAGAGGTGGCGCTGGTCTCCTGGACCCTGTGCACCTACCGTCCTTTCCATCCTCGGGCCTGAGCAGGAACATGTCTGAGTGCAGAGTGCCTCTGTCCACGTCTTTCTTGACTCTCTGCCGAGAAAGAAGCATCCTGTCAGTAGTCACTACGTTCCCTGTGGGGTCTTTCCATGCGGGAACACGTAACAGTGCTCTGCTGACAGGGCTGGAGGCTCCATGGAGGTTGTCACTGGGGAGTGAGGCGGGAGTGCTGCTCCCTTGCTAACTAGGGTAAACCAGTGCTAACTAGCTAACCAGTCTGCATTCCCCAACTGCTTTCTATTTTCACAACTCGCCACGTGGCAACGATCGCCTCCGACCTCCCACCAGCAGCTGCGCTAGGTCGCCTTCCCTTTCGGATCCCCTGCACCTCTGTCTGGGGTGTGGAGAGGTCCAGGGAGCAGGGCCTGTTTCCCACCGAGAACTAAGTAGAGAACACCCCGTGGAAAGAAGTGAGGCTTCCACATGGAGATTCACTGTCTTCAGGAGAGGCCACAGGTGACGAGAAACATCTTGGGGGGACACAAGGCAGCAGGTGGGCAGGAGGGGGCTCTGTGCTCCTCACCAGGGAAGGGCGAGCTCTAGCTCCCACAGTGGGAATGAGGGCCTGCAGCAGGGCAGCCCTCTCCTTGTCCGGCCCCCACCCCTCCGCCTCCAGGGAACATGCGCTTGTTGGGAGGCACTTGCTCACACATCCCCTCTCTCAGCTCCTCTTCCCTGCCGGCCCCACTCTGCCCACGTCCACCCTGCCACCACACCCCTAGTGCTGACCGAGCAGAACAAAGCCAGCTACCAGCTGCAGATGGGTGGTCAGTGTCTGCGGCCTAGGGACAAAACCTCCTCCGAGCACAAACGGACTCACTGCACAGGGTTCGAGAATGTAACAGGAGCCGAGCACCTTACAGCAGGGTCCATGGACGACAAATGAGTTCCTGAACCTTGTCTCTTGGTTAGGGCTGCACACTGGCTCTGCCCAGTTCTGACATGGCCAAAGAGGCGTCGCTGGCAGATGTTTGAAGTTTTAATGAGCCAGGAAGATCACCGGAACGTGAAAAAGAACATGTCCTTATCTCCCTGGTACAGAACCAGGGCAGTGTGCACGTTCCCTAGCAACCAGACGAGCTTTTTCGCCCTGGTTTAGTGGGGTCTCCAGCAGCACTGGCCCACTCAAAGCTGGTAGCCACCTGCACCATACCGTTCTCTATGGGTGTCTAATCTCCCCACGGGGCTCCTGAACGTACCACTGCAAGGCTGTGAATCACAAGGTTTCCTACTCTAGGTGCCAGGCCAAATAGGCCAAATGTAAGATTTCGGATCCTTTCCTTGTTTCACTTCGTTGGCCATGGCAGAATCCTGGTGAGATGCTGTAGGATAAGCACTGGACTACTAACCTCGGCGGTTCAAACCCACCAGCCGCGCCTTGGAAACTCTATACAGGGTTGCTACAAATTGGACCTGAACTCCACGATCCTTAACAATAACAAGAATTGTCTCAAAGTCCCACGTCTGAAATCCAGGGAATACCTGCTCTGCTGACTGACTGCCCAGTCATCCCAGAAGGTTAAACCTGCGCTCTCACACAGTGAAGTGAAAACAAATTCCACACCTACCTGTTTCGAATAGCCTCCGTAGATGATGATGCCACCCTGGGCAGTGACAGACATCTGGCAGCCAGACCTGGGGGTAGGTCCCATCCCTGAGGGAGACAGCTTGGCCCACGTGAAGGTATCCAGATTAAAGGTGTATACATCGTTGTAATAGATGTAGTCTCTGGTGACAACAAGCGACAGCCATTAGTATCCTGCTGCTAAGAAGTAAAACGTTACACAACGGGCCTGACTGAAATGGAAGGTAAACACCCACTTCCATGAAGCTCTGGTAATTCGAGTTCAGTGTCATATGACATGACTGAGTGTGTGCGAGCTGGCATTTGAAACAGAGAACTGCTACTCCCCTCTGAAACCCGTCAGTCTGTAACAAGAGTGTGAACTTGTGCAGGCTACCAGCGGCACAGACAGTGTCACCACACTGGGAAACAGGACAGAGACACCAAGAGGGACCCAGGTGTCCACATGGTGGCAGCCAAGTGGGGAGGCACCTGGTCCTGACAGGAGAGCAGTGAGCAGAGCCCAGGAGCCCGAGGGTGCGATCAGGCCGACAGTGAGGCTCCGGGCACTGGGGACACGTCCCTTCCCGCCCTGGAGGCCCTTGTAGAAGGACGGCTCCGAACTCACAGACCAAGGACTCAAGGGGTTCGCAGAAGTTGTAACATGTTGCCCTGCTCCTGGGTGTCACATTTCAGAATTTCAATACAGAGACTCGATTCTACATGTCAGCAAAAAGCCAGCGTGGCAAGGCAACGGCCGTCAGTGTTTATACACCACGGTGACCGAGGACACAAGTGTCTGTTCTCGTGTTGGCATTTCTCTGCAATAGTTCCAAAAACACACTCACTTTTGAGTTTGAAATGGTCACGCTCTAACTACTGCAAGCAGCCGATCTGTAGGTTCACAGAGGAGCCCTGACAGCACAGTGGTTAAAGCGCTTGGCTGCAAACCCAAAGTCTGGTGGTTCCATCAGCCTCTCCCCAGGAGAAGGGTGAGCAGCCTGGTGCCATAAAGACCCACACACCTCGGGGCAGTCCGACTTGGTCTCACGGGGTCACGATGAGTCGGGACCCACCTGACAGCAATGACTTTCCCTCTCTTTGGCGATTCGGTTTCCAAAAGCAAGGGCCATGCTGGTGTCAGTCACTGCGCCACGCCAAACAGCTGCAGGTTCAATGGTCTGAGAAACCCACTAATCCCCACGGCTGTACTTTGACAAGGGACTCTGGAGAAAATGCGCTTCAAGACTTCCGAGGCCTTCATTTTTAAAAATGGCCTCTTATCCAAAGTGGCAACAAGCCACCAACGCCACATTCAGGAAGTCGAAGTTTCATGGTCTGCACACTGGGCGCTAAGGGCTAAGACTGGTCAACCGCTGCTCAGGGGTAGTAATGAGGACCAGTTCACAACTTCTAACTTGAGACGATCACACACCATCCCAACAGACTGGCGGCAGACAAACTACCAGAACAAGACACAAGCTAAATGAGCCTAGTTACACTTCCAAGAGCATCAAAGCATCCGCCACTGAATTAAGATTTGTGTTGCTGTGTGCCCTCGAGTAGGTTCTAACTCACAGAGACCCCAAGACACAGGACAAGTACCGCGTAAGGTGTGTGAGGTTGTAAATCTTTAAAGAAGCCCACTGCCACGTCTTTCTCCCACGGAGCCACGGGGCAGGCGTGGGTCTGGACCATACATCTGTCAACAGTCGAGGGCTTAACCAGAGCCACCACTCCTTTGAACTTGAAAATATCCCTACTCTGAAAGGCACTTAAGCACTGGACTGCTAACCTGAAGGTTAGCACTCCTGAGAAACCCTATAAAGAGCTGACTCAATGACACTAAGACCAGTAACAATAGTTACCTTAGGAGCAGGTTCAGACCGATTGGCGAGAAGGGGACATGGAAACAAAATCACAGGGAGAGAGTGAACTAACCTAGGTTACATGAGGGGGACCGCAGTCACTGAAATGAAACCAAGTGCATGATCTGTTGATTCTGGAAGCTATGCTACCAGGATTTTAACTACCAGTAGGGTCACTCCCGGTGGACAGGTTTATCTGAGCTACCACACTAAAACAGACGAAGGAGGAGGAGAGATGGATTACAGTCAAATATTTGTTGTTCCAATTCACAGCGACTCTGTCTAAGGTTTCCAAGGAGCAGATGGTGGGTTTGAACCGCCGACATTCTGGTTCAAACTGACCCTGCGGTCCAATGCTTATCCTACAGTGTAACACCAGGACTTGGAGTATTTAATCACTGAAAACATTATGAATAACCGTTTCAGATAGCAAGAGAATACTAAGTACTGACACATGATGAAGCTTGCCAGGATACTGGCAGACACAGCGTCAGAAGATGAGCCCCTCAGGGCGGAAGGCTCTCAAAATACGACTGGGGAAGAGCTGCCTATGGAATAAAGCTTCCGGAACCTTCATTTGCTTATGGGGTAAACCTCAAACAAGGAGATTCAGTTGTAAACATCCATTAATACTCGGAACATAAAATGTACAAATGTACACAAAAAATCTAGGAAAATTGCAAGCTGACAAAAATGAAATGGAACACAAACATCAGTATCCTAGGCATTAGTGAGCTAAAATGGACTAGTATTGACCATTTACAACAGCAAAAAGATGGAGACAGCTAAAGTGCCCATCAACTGAAGAATGGATAAACAAATTGTGGTACATACACACAATGGAATATTATGCTACAGTTAAGAATAACAAGGAAGCAGCAAGCTACCACATAACATGGATGAACCTTGAGGACATTATGCTGAGTGAAATTAGTCAGTCACAAAAAGAGAAATACTGCATGAGACCACTACCGTAAAAGACTAAGAAAAAGAAATTATACTAAAGGGGGGTAGGGGGAAGTCTTTGTTGGTTGTTGGGAAGTTGGTGATGGGTGGAGGGAAGGGGGG